GCCCTTTTGTGGCAAACCGAGTGTGGCCTCATCACACTTGCTATTCACCCCGACCCCTCTCTTTCGATGGACTCCAATCCAGATCCCCTCATCGTCTCGTAGATCCGTCCCTTCCTCCTCAAGTCCACTGTCAGATGCTGGGAATCATGACAACTACTACGGCAGACGACTTCGGACTAGGTACGTTCTACATAGTCGCCCTGACAACAAGACCAAGTTGCGACAACGAGGTACAACGAGGTCAACTCACTTCTGTAAATCGAAAGGAGACTTCGACCATACCAAAGGTCATCGTATATTCTAAAGTATTCTTGTTGAGTGATCTACGACGAGCAACTGGGTTTCGTTGGATTTCCTGAGGCAGCAGTCTTAGTGAGACCTTCGGTTCATATGAGAATGCATGAAGAATAGAATCTTCGGTTGATCTCACCAGAAGACCTAGCGGGGGTTACGTAATCTGGTACGCTTGGTCTGGTTGGTCAATTTAATCTGACATGTTGTACGAGTGAAGGTTAAGTTGGAGCCATCACTGAGCAGGCAAATTGAGTTCCCCCGAAACGAGGCAGGATTTCTCATGTAATGCTTCACCCTTAGACTCTTATTAACGCCATACAGCTGCAGTTCAACGGGACTCAGGAGTGACATCAACCTACAAATCTCTTCTTCATGCACTTTTATACGAAATCAAGGTCGCCCCAACCATATTCCCTATCTGTCCCCTCTTTATCCGACACTCACCTTCATTTGACGACCTAAGCCCGCCTTAGAATCCTCTCCGGTTGACATCACTACACTATCATATCGATCTGTCTCCGTCTTTACACACTCGGATGAAATGTCTTACATAGCCATGTTGTGAACCAGTTCGACTGGATAGATCGACTTTAACACGTGCTGTCGTGATCCATTTCACTAGTCCAAGACAAGGCGTTGGCGACAGATCGCAGCCCCAAGTCAAGTGCCTATCTTCTTTGGTGCTGTATCTGACAGGCATTCGGAATACTCACCTGGTCGTTTTAAGTAGGCTTAGTGCCTGATCCAATACAAACGGATCTGCTGGCTCTGGCGCCCGGCTCTCTCGGTCATTCTAAGACCTGATCATGTGTTTGGATCACCGTTTGTTTGGCTTTTTGCTACGTGGACGCAACTAACTCTCTCCAGAAGCCCTATTTAACGTCGAGGCTCACCTGACTACCAGCTCACTTGCCTGATTGGCTAAACAGCGTCATCACAACCGCCTCCGATATCGCCGAGAGCATACTTGACCTTTGAACTCGTCGGTCTCTTGAAACGGATGGCAACAGCCTGACGAACTCTGGCCACCCAGCACCGACATCCACTTGAACTTTGTTTCTGCCGTTAAGACCATGCTACTCTCGGAATTTGACCAAATTGGATCAACACCAGGCGGAAGTGCCTTCTTCTGACTGGGCGTCAGATTGGCAGCCAAGCATCGTCCGGGTCACAGCCCGCAACAATCGGCTTTGGTTAGTTTGGAAAATTTGATGAACATCAACTATGTCGGTAGCAACCAGCGCCAGTTGCCTACCTTGCAAGAGGCCACTTTGGTAGTGAGCTTTGCCTTTTTGGGCGCCTAGGGTGACTTTACAGCCGCGTGACTAAAAGTCAATTAGAGAGCCAAATTTACGATATGTTGGTTTCGAGTGTGACTGGTGGAAAGAAGGAAACTTGTCTTTGGCGTAGGTTTTAGAGGGATTTCGAATACTGGTTGGCCATAACTTTAGCAACCCATGCATGGGAAAATGTTGTTAGGCAACTAACTTGGCGGAAATTATCTGGGCTCAATTGATAAGACATACATATATGTCTATTATCAATCAAAAAGAAGACTTTATTTCGCTAAAATTGGTTAAACCCTGTATCGAATAGCGCCTCTTCCGTCCGGAGAGGACTGCGGGTTTAATCTAACTTCTATTTTATATGCGACCTACAAATGTCTTAGAATCCAAAACAATGGCCCTTGCCATACCAACGACCCACACGTGCACACACATGTACATATGCATGCTTGCATACATGCATTCATACACACATACCTACATATATATATACACATACTCATGCACCAACAGAAGTGATCGAGAAAAGCGGACGCACACAAGGGCTTTCTTCGAGATTCATTCCATTGTTTGAAGTCCCACTCTCTTCTGAAATAACTGTTCTGGCCGCGAAATGGAAGGCCTGCTGAAGGCAGTATATGCGAAGAACAGTTGACTTTCGAGTAATCTCTTGATTCACAATTGTTGTGCTTCCATTTCGAGGAGAAGAGTTTGGCAAAGACATTCTAAGTTCGATCTCAACAGAAGACGACGGCGGATTCCTCTTGACCAGTTGCCGATTGGCTTTATTGGGACATGTTTATTGACTGTGTTTCAGAGGCAATCTCTTTTGACTCCAGTGAAAACGTGCTAAGATTTCGTCGCTCGTGTGAAGGGTATCATCAGAATAGGATGTCATCATTACAACCAAATTTATGCTGAGCAGTCAAGAAAACTCACTGCTGTATAAATGACATTTAGCTATTTCGTGATTTGCTTAGTTGTAATTTATCAAAGATCTCAGATATAGAGCATGGATCCAGCATTTAGGCATGAGGAGTGAGTTTTCTTGTCTAATTAGCTTAACTATGCTTGCAAGGATGATACCCTGCTCAGATGTTGTCTATCATACGACGCAAGAAATCCTAGCAAGTTTTCACCGGAGTCGAAGGAGATTGCCTCTGAAATAGCGTCAATAATAATAACTGGTAAGGAGGAATCTGCCGTCTTTTTCTGGTGGGAGATCCAACTTCGAATCCCTTCGTCACATAATTTCACTCAAACTGGAAGTGAGCTTACTTCCACGAGGTAGATTCCTCTTGGTTGACACTACTGAGAACATTGCAAGTGAAGCTGTTTCTGGGATAATCTCCTTCGATTTAAGTGAAAATATTGTGGCCCTTCGTCACCTGGTATAATGACATCATCAATTAAGAATGCTACCCTGCTCTGATGATGGACGAAAGTACAGCTTTGCTTCATCGACAAAGCAGGCATAGAATTTGACATTGGAAAATGTCTGACCATTATTGAAATTCACATCTGACCTGTGACCCAAGGACACTCATGTTAGTCTGGCGTAGTGGCTAACGTCTCGAGACTATACGCTTCAGCACCACTACCCAGGTTCGAGTCCCACTATGGTTGCTTATGAGACCCCATCGAGATGGAAACTGCGGTTCACTCCGGCCTAGATGCGAATAGCTTTTTGGAAGCAAGTTTATGTAAAATTTAATGGAAACCTAAAATCTATTTAGATAATTGTGTAAAAATTTGATTACCAATCCTTCATCACCTTAAATAAATAAAATAAATACATCTCGTATATATGATCTACTGTTAGTCCCACCCACTTATAAAACAAAAAAAGTAAAAGTGGGCTGACCTCGTTGTCGCACCTTGGTCTTGTTGTCAGGGCACTATGTAGAACGCACCTAGTCCGAAGTCGTCTGCCATAGTAGTCGTCATGATTCCCAGCATCTGACGGTGGACTTGATACATTCTCAAACGTTTCGCCGGCATCGTAGTCGGCATCATCAGTGAGCTTTGCCGTTCTTCGCACCAAGCTACGAACCCGTTGCCGGCGAAACGTTGAGTCTGTATCAAGTCTACTGTCAGTTGCTGGGAATCATGACAACTACTATGGCAGACGACTTCGGACTAGGTGAGTTCTACATAGTCGCCCTGACAACAAGACCAAGTTGCGAAAACGAGGTCAACCCACTTCTATAAATCGAAAAGAGACTGCTACCATAACAGAGGCCGCACCATCTTGGTCTTCATATATTCAAAAAAAGTAAAGATTATCACGTTTTTACCAAAATCGACGGAGAATTCCTCGGGGACAACATCAGCAAGCATATTTCAATAACTTTCGTCAGCCTTTAAATCCCTGACTCTCTTTTGGACACGCACTAAACATTCATTCTACCATCCTGTCCGAGTTTCTTGGTGATTTCCAGATACATTATTCATACAGCAGTGTGCTTTGTTTAAACGTTTCATGCTGACTAATAGATCTTTTCGAATAGAGATGCTTCCAAACCAACCAGATGTTTGGTGAACATAATGCAAATCATGATTTTGAAGAGGTCTATAGTAATTTTATTCCATCTTACCTTCGTTTCTTATGAAAAGTTGAATGGAAGAAATACTTAAAGTGGCCTAACCTGAAATAAATCCCAGCCTAGAGCTTGGCGAATCTTGTCAACGAATAGGTTTTTGCTCTGACGTTGCCGTTCATGGAAAATCAAACTAAAGCTTTATAAATCCTGCTTATAAACGAAAAATAAAAATCACCATGTCTGCCTCAGGGTCGCAGGATAGTGCACTGAGAACTTCTGGGCTAAAGTTGGGTCTTGAGTAGTCTCTTGGTCTTTTGCTATTATTAAGCTCACATCTACTCTGAGTGAAATTGTTTGCGATAATGGGATTTGAGGATCATTTTCACTGGAAGATTGCAACAGTGTACTCTTGGCCATCTGTTGCTTGGCTTTACTGGAGCACTTTGAGTCAGTCTGTTCTTCGACTCGGGTGTGAAAGTTCCAAACTTTTCATCTGTCTTATAATGGGGATTATCACAACGGGGTATCATTTTCACACAAGAATTGCTCTCACTATATTTTGTTTAAGGTCATGAAGGACTGGTATTCGAATTTTCCATTAAATTTCCGTTTGATAACAAATAATAAGTTAAGTAAGCGATTGCCATAACAAATACACTCCTAGCACAGAAATGTAATATGGAAGAGGCCTAGGCTTCCTCGAACTTCATTTCTGCCCTGTGATGCAAAGAAACTCGTGACAATCTGGCGTAGTAGCTAACGTGTCGAGACTGTGCGTTGCACTATCAGAAGTTGGGTTAGAATCCCGCCGATGGGGATGATGGGACCAGCTCAAGCAATGGATGTGAATTCCTGTTAGAAAGCAATATTGTATGAAATTCATTGAAAACATGAGGTTGAGTTATATGATTGTTGGAAAGTTCATCTACCAGTTCTTCATTACACTAAATGAATAAGAATGAGTACAGTTCTTGTTCAACATATAACGGTAGTCCCGAAACCCTTATTAACAACGAAAACATCCTTCTTATGACTAATTCGGACTAGCAAATCAAGAAAAATATTTGACTTATTCGTGCATGCTGCATATTTGTTAAGCAAAACGAGATTTGATCAGTTCATTTCAAATGTCAATTTAGAAACATGTACGTGCGTATGCTCATTTGTGCGTTTGTACTTTCGTATGTACGGTGGCTCTAAGTAATTAGAACAGAGCATAACCTCTGCTCTCTGTCATCAAGGTTAATGACCTTTGTCAACCATAATTGCAGTTGTGTATGTCTACGAACTAGGATGTATATAAGGTGTGACCGTAATTAGGATCAAGATCAACAAAGGGCTCGTTGGGTCGTCTTCGTTCTATAGGCCAGTCAACGCCCTCTCTACTCTTAAGTCTGTCGATAAAGCTTTTCTCACCCTTACTGCTGATATTCGCTGTATTACCTAATCGGCTTAGTTAAAGACGTGCCATACTCAACGAAACGACGAGTTTAAAACCAGATATATGAGTTGTACTGGTAGTCTCGAAAACTTACTCAAAAACGAAAAAGGTTTGTAACTATTTTTATTTCATATCCAGCCTTTCTCATGTGTTTCGCCGCCTTCGGACTTGCAGCCCAACTACAGACCGACTCAACTCAGCCCTTGTGGCCAGCTTAACACACTCAAACGCTGGGATCGAAGGACTTGACTCGGCCTCCAGAATGTACCATCCGATAGCTTCCAAAGAGAATGTGCTCAGAACTTGTAATAGAAGATCGTGATTTCTTCCAGCCTCAGATCCAACGACAATTGAAGCTATGGCTTGTGCCCCTTTCGGGAAAGCAGGGCGACGTGATAAAGGGACTGGAAGTTGAATTTTTCCAAAATCATATGAGTAGACCTTACGTTTTTTTATTGAATTTCATATAGCCCTACTTTCCCAAAAGGTATGATCATCAAGACTGGACTGAAGTTCCGACTTCCGTCCTTTCTTCCGAGTGTCCTTGACTCAGAGGGCAGATGTGAATTTCAAGGAACTTCAGGCATTTTCGCATAACGTTTTCTGTGGTGTGATTATCAAAAGCCTACATAAAAACGAATAACCTTCTGTCACCAACGTAAATGTTGTTCCAATGCTCCAAGAGGCATTGTAGAAGATTAGGCCAAATTTAAGTCGATGAAGGACTGGTAGTTGAATTTTTAACAAGAATACATAGCTTTGCCTTCTCAAAAGGTGTTATATACCAGATTGGGCTACTGTTTCGATCTCGCTTCGGTCTTATCAACATTACCAGTAGGAGTCGAACCATGACAGTGCAGAATGTGAGCTTGACACGCTGCAGATGTGAATTTCAAAGAAGACCAGGCCTTTTTTTCCATATCACATTCTTCGGTAAGATTGTCGATAAAGCAAACGTATTGTTGCTATGGCAATCGACGACTACTTTTTTTTCCTCATATAACTTATTTACTGGTAGTCTCGAAAACCAACTGAATGACGAAAAAAACAAATTGTCACCAGCACAAGTTACTGCCAGCTTTTTCAATTCATCCGTCAATGCCAAATGACCTGAATCCGCTGAAAATAAATGAAAACCCATCCAGCTTACTCGTACGCGGCATCAATTCACACTAATTATGATGACTCGTTTGACCAATTAATTACTTCTATAATTAATGCTATTTTGACACTTGAGGCTTGAAAACAATTAATAATGTATGGACGATCGAAGATAGCAAGACTAATATGATGCGGCCCTCGGTATGGTCGCAGTCTCCTTTCCGTGTATAGAAGTGGGTTGACCTCGTTTTTGTTGCCTGGTCTTGTTGCCACACCGACTGAGTTGGACGCACCTTGTCCGAAGTCCTCTGCCATAGTAGTTATAATAATTCTGAACATCAGACAGTGGAC